TTTCTCCTTAGGTTGATTTTGAAGTTATTTACTTTACAGATGTTTAGACTATTTAATTCTGACCATAAAAGAATTGTAAGTAATTACAACTGAGAGCACAGTGATTATTGTGATAAAAGAAAGATGCCTTCTCATGGTGAAAAGAAGAAGGACAAGTAAAACAGTAAAAGCCTGTTGTAAGATTAATTGCTTTTAATATATTGGTGTTGGGTTTGTGTATTCCATACAACCTTGACTGCAATATCCGCATATTACTTGGGCAGTAAGTATTCATGGTATGTTTAAAGCATGCTGCCTTAATTTTAGACTTTAGAGTTAGTTGTAGTCTGACCACTTTAAAGTTGTTATACAGGAATGGCTACTGCTTTAAAAGACATCCAGCTCTTGTGTGGAGAAATTGAGATGAGGTTCCTGGTAGTGATTAATAATCTCCATTCCATCATCTTCATTTTGCCACTTCAAAACCACAGAATAAAATGTATGTAATACAGTACCTTCTTCATATTCTGTGCACTTGTTATATGTTTGTTCATTTTCTTTATCTTTCTGTTAGAATTGTGCAGAAATACCTTAAAATTCCTTTAACTGATTGTATTCTGTTTCATTCGGTGTTGTTTTGTTTTTGTTTATGACGCAGGATCAAATATTTCTGGCTGAGCAGTCATTGCAAGACCTCAGACTGCTCTGTACCAAAGTGTGGGCTGGTTGTGGATCATCTTCAGTGACTGTGTGCTGAGAGAGCTGACACGTGTCACATAATTAAGCACTGTGAAATACGGTCATCTTCAGATGCTCAAATAAAGTTTTGTTTTGGAATAGTATCTCAAGTAGTATATTTAAAAAAGCAGGAATAAAATAAAAAAAAAGTTGAGGCTCCTTAACCTTAACAAAGGCAAATCTCTTCACAAAATATATAATATATATATATAACAGGCAGAAACCACAGTCATCAAACAATAAGCTGTCCTGGAAAGAATATCAGCTGTTCACCTCAACCTGGGCCTGGATCAGACCCAGTTACTGTATAGGAATGACCTTCTGTAGCAGTGTTGTCATTAACATGGTTAAGACTTGACATCTGGATTTATTTCAGGAGCACTGTGTGTGTGGGGAAAATGGTTCACAGAAATCTTTTGGGAATATTTTTGAAATAATGAACTAATGAGGTATATTTTAGATTCCAGGCCCAAGTCATTATTATAGTGTGGTGCTATGGTCCAGAGACCTGTTAGTTGTCTTGAGTCGTGTCTTGTTTTCTCAATAGAAGGCTAACAAGAATGTTAACATAATTTGCATTGTTCACTCAATTATTGCACCTTCCTGTCTACTGTTGATTATTTGAATTAATTTTTAAAAGTTTAATGTTTTTGTGAATGTAAGGGTTTGACTATGTATTTTCATTTTAATACTTCCTTTAAGTTTTAGTAATATGACTTTATCTGCTCAGGAAACCGTAGAAAATGTGCTGAAACTAAAGATTTGAGAATGATTTTTTTCTTTACATTTAAAAAATTATTTTAAACCCTGTAGTGGTTGAGGTGGTACATTTTTTGTTTTCTTATTTAAAATAATTAAGGCAAAAAACATACAACCAGTGGCTGTAGTGACTGTTTAGTTCTTATAGTTGATGACCCTTATTTAGGATTCTGAATGTCTTCTCTAATGTAATAAGAACATTTTTCAGAACAATGAAATAGAGCATTACTGTTGCACGTTGATCCCACATTTACATTTAGGTTTGCTGTGTGATTTAATTTTCTTATAAGATTGATGTGTGATTTTGGAAATGTCTGCCTTGGAATAACATTTATTTGAATTAGCTGGAGAAGCATTTAAAATGTGTGGTTTTGCATTTTTACTGCATTACTTTGAGGATCAACCCACAAGCACAGAATTTTACCACATACATGTTAATAGCTCGGCAGCTCACTACAGTCTCCAACTAAATTATTAATGAGACAGCCTTTTTTTGTATAGTTATTCAGAATGTCACCACCTGCAGCTACAACAATCCAGTTACACCAACCCTTAATTTCTCCGAAAGAAAAGGGCTCCGACAATTCAGTTCAGCTCATCCTCTACTTCATGAGACCTGTTACATATGGTTCCCTTGGATCTGCCCTTTGACATAATTTCTTCTATGATAGTT